AAAAAACTAATTAGTCTTTCCAGCATGTGTATACAAGTCTAATTCAAAAATTTTTAAAAAGAGAAAAAGAAAAAATTCATACTCACTCAGTTCTTTGCCAACTGCTGCTACAACACAGTTCTTGGGTATTTCAACCAAAGCAGTGATTCCTCCAAAAACATATAAAACAAAGGTCATATTATTTCTTTCACACATTACATCAAAAACAAAAACATTCTCAGTTTTGTGTCAGTCATTTCCCATAAAGAAGGTGGTAACAATAAGCACACAAAACTTGCTACACACACATTCCTTGCTTGTTTACATATGGCAAATGATTTTGTTAAAAGTAGGTTTCTGAGACCTTTGGAAGACCTACTGATTTATTAAGTGTAGAATATGCTCTTTGAACATTTTTACTATTGTAGTAACAAAGTATGTTTAGCCTTTCAAACTTATTTACCAAGGATCCCTTAAGATAATCACCATCGCCCATTTATAAGGTGGCTAGCTCAAAAGAGATGTAAAATTGGGGTTTTCCTTAATGTAAACTTAAGAAACCTGAGCAGGCATCCTGGCATTAAACGAGCTAGCCAACAGTTAAGAAAGCTGCCTTCAAATAGCATGTTTATGATCTATTAATACATGTACAAAGTTCCTTATATTATTGAAATAATCAGATTCAACATTCTACCACATTTCATTTATTTCAGTATAGAGTTCTGAACATCTTTTCATAGCTGAATCGTGAAATGATTTTAGGATAACTAACTTCTGGAAGGTATGTTACAGTTATAAAATATTAATTTGTCAGCAAGAATAAAAGAGTTGATATATTAAAACCACACTTGCCAAAAAAACCTGTTCACTAAAGCTAATTTTTCCATTATGACATATATGTAATTTATAACATACATGCACATTTGGAAAATATTCTCATTTGCTTCTCCTTCCTACTCATCAAAGGACTAGCACTTGTAATTTGGAGACTATTTCTGGCCAAAACTTTTTCTCCACAAAAGTGTGTTTTAACAGTCGTAACTGACGTAACAGTAGGTGGTGCTGCGGAAGGAGGAGGAAGGGAAGGAGGAGGAAGGGAAGGAGGAGGAGGAAACAGGAGAGCAGCAGGGATGAGTAGCAAGATAAAAATTCTAAATGCAGAAAACTGCTTGTTAAAAAATGTTCACTAAATTCTAGAAACCCAACAATCCAGAAGTACTTAATACTCAGAATCACAAAACACACTGCTGGCGTATGGATGTCCATCTTATCCAGTGCTCTTTCCACTGTATTGTATTGACTAACACTATCTTTGCTTATTTCCAAATACAGAATAACTGCCCCTACAAGCCCCTTCAGCCCATGAGATAAAGGTCTAGTAGCATTACTGACGACCTGGTATCCTATAATTTGGGAAACCCAAATTACAAAATGTTCACCAATGGTAACCTATGGCCTTTTCAAAGCTTTCCAATAGATTCCCTCAAAGTCGTCCGTTAACCTCTTGAGACACTGACAAACAGGGCAATACTGTGATTACTTAATGTATAGTACTTGAAGATAGCTTGCATAAGAAAGGGAGAGTGAAATAAGAGGTGGCTATTTCCATTAACACGCAAAAGATTCTTTTTAGCTCTGATTCCAATAGTTCACAACATAGCTACTAATAATTCATGGACAAAAATTCAAAGATAACCACAGACTAAAA